AAGAAATTCTTGAAAAATTAATATTTTCTTAATCATCTCTTTAAGATAATTTGATTTAAATTTAGAGTAATTCAAAATATTTATAAGAAAAATAATTTTAAGTACTGAATGATTAACTTAATCTTTAATTTAATTAAGTTGAACAAGAAAAGTTTAATGCAGCAAATAATAATTATTCATCTTTAAAGCCAAGCTAACAGTTTTGAGACCTAGATGGAAGATGGAGATAGCCTGCCAACTAACCATGATTTGTGCTAATCCCCCAACTTTTCTTTTTAATTAATTCTTCAAAAATTTAGTTTTGCCTTATATGTCAGAGCTCTGGCTTTCACATGAAGCAAATAAAAAATTTAATAAAACTCTTAGTTTTTAAAACATATTTTGTAATTTAGGTTGTGTTTGCGGGCTATGGTGCGGTGGTGACGTACTGCACATCGTACTTACAAATGTTTGGTAAAATTGCATTCTGTTTATTTTCTCAGAAAATTATCGTGGAATTTTATGTTTTGCAATCTGACCTAACTAAGGACGGTAGCTAACAGAAAGCTGCAATATACCTTTTTCAAAATAAAATAGATTGGTAATTGTCCATCAACTTTTTAAACAACAGCTTCTTCTGCAGTAGCTTTATAACTGTTTATTCGAAGAGCTGCAACTGCTCCAAACAAATCGTTAGACGGTTAAAAGCCTCAAACTTGCATAGCATTTGTTATAAACAAAATGAAAAAACTTATGAAATTAGATTCAATAATTCATCTTCCTCAAAATAAATTATTAAAAAACCCTCTTACTAAATATAAATGGAATGCATATTTTAAAGTTAGTTTAAAAAATATAACATAAAATTTTGAAGTATTAATTCAAATTTTTTCCTTACCTTAAAGTATTTGAAATTATTTCATCTCATCTGGATTGAATGAGATGTTTTGTTTGTCATCTGCCATCGTCAATCCTTTTATCGACGCTTGTTATTGTATTAAAAAATTAAAGGTGAAAATATGTGTTTCACTTATTTAACGTTACATTAGTGCTATTTTTGATGTGATATAAAAATTTTGAGTGGTTTAAATGTAAAAATTAAAGTATAGTTTTAGATAAATAAATACATAAGAATTTAGTGGTATGTATGTAAATGCCCCGTAAAATTTCTCTTCTAAAGATAGTAGTAGGAGCTCTAAAGCGTTGGGTGCATCAGCTTATTCTAGAGAGACGTGCAGGGCTCTTCTCCTTGTATTGAAGAATTTTGTGGGCGGTGAAATTGTTTGTCATCTCAGTGGAAACATTTGTGGATGGCAAGTTCTTTTGATCTATATGGTCTTATGGATTTGGCTAGTTGTATATCAAGGAAGTGCTTATCCACTCAATTTTTTCTTAGAGAACTTTTAAAAGATAAGAAATTTAAGTTGTAGGTGGCAAGAATGATTGCTTTGGTTTTATTGCAAGTTAGAACATTCATTGTGATAAAAAATAGGAATTTAACGCCTTAATTTTGCACAAATATCAAATACACGCATATAAAGAATACGAAGAAGGAAAAATCATAGGCCCTGATCTGATTAGAATGCGTTGATTAGTGTAAGTTGCCGGTTATGAATGATGCTCTTCCACATAACAGAGGAATATGCTAATACAATGTTAAAGATATAAATTATAGACAGATTATATGTTGAATGTCTAAGAATTTGGAGGCATTGGAATTATCTTCAATAGATTATTTGTGATATGTTTCGTCATTCTCTTTTGAGGAGGGATGCTAAATGCCAAAATTTATAGTATAAATATCTGTTCTAAAGTTAAGGTTTAGAGTTAGAGACAAGGATATACGTCAACTTCATTGATGATGGCATACATTAATATTATCGGTAACGACAAATAATAAAATTGTATGGCATTGATAGCATGTGTTAGTCTTAGAAATGATGATGTCAACAACACACATCTACTTTACATATGAGAGTGCTAGCCAATATCGTGGATTAATTCTATAGAGCATGAAAATGATAAAGTTTGTGAGCATTAGTACTTGAGATATTGTAGTTGGGTGAAGATGGTGATCGAGAGACCATAATCAGACAATGATGATTAAATAATTATAGTCAAATGATGATGATTGTGTGAATATAGTCGGGGACGGCGATTAGACAAATGTAGTCCATGTCAACGGTTTAGGATAGAAATCAAGCGATTATAGTTTAGGACAATGGTTAGTGTCTGTGGTCAAACATTTATGATTGGGTAACGATGATTAGAAGATTATAATCATACCATTTTAACCTAGAAAGTGTTAGGACAATTATAGTTTAGTTAAAGTAGATCAAAGATTAACATTAAGAGGTCATAATTGGGTGATGATATTCAAAAACTATAATGTAGTAATAATGGTTATAAGATTACAGTTTAGAGGAACACTGGTACAATGATATCGAGGTTATTTTGTAGCTATCCAACAATAATAATTAGTAGTTATATTGATGATAGTGATTGGTGTTAGTAATCTTATGATGACTGTTAAGTTGTGATTCATACGTCGTTAGATGTCGGTTGACGAGTAAAATCACACAATTATGGTTTAATGATGGCGGTATGACAATAATGATATGGTAGTGTTTTGATGATAATTATTTGGTAATGATATAATGATGATGATTGAGCAGTGCTCTGACATTGAAAGCCGAACGATGGCTTGACAGTGGCATTCAGGTTATGGTGTGATAGTAATGCTTCAATAGTCTCCAAGATTCATTAAAATCGTTTAGCTTTTCCTCAACTAAAGTCTTTATTTTCCATATATACATATACGTGTCTAATGGAGGTATATTTATATATTTCAAAGTGATATTTTAATTATTTCTGTCAAAATCTCGAAACATTTTCTTTGACCTTTAAGAGTGATCGCTCTTAGGCTTCATTTGGAGCAATTTATTTGCTGCGGTGACATTTTGAAAATGTCACCTTATCGTTTGGAAATTGCGTTTGAGCAGCATATCCAAAAACGCAGTTGGTTTTTACACTAAAAGCGAACGCAAGTCGAACCATGCGATTCATGCTTCCAGATAAACGACTTATCTGGATAAAAACAAGCTACCCCAAACACACCCTTAATCTCATGATATTCTTAAATTATTTGAGGTCTTAAAATTACATGAACATAGGCTTATTGAATTTATAAATACACTCAATTAATTTATAACCATAAAAGATTTGGCAATCCTTTGAGTAATGTCATACAAATTTTAACAACACTAAATTCTTTATTTAATCTCATTGGATGTCAAATCAGATCACTTCTAGTGTTGATGAGTTTGTTTAATTCATATATTATGTTGCACCATTTGTCTGCTGAAATTAGAATTTAAATCATCTTAAATTTGATTTTAAAATCTTTCAACTCAAATATTTTTCTTAGATTTATGTCCAGTCAAATAGATTTTTGGACGACACTTTTTCAGTCATGCCAAAATATGAAGACTACATTATCAAATCATGTAAGTTTGAAGATGTGTTTTTTATTCCGATCACCAAGTATTTAATTTTGCATATAGATCGAGTCAGGTTTAAGCAAAGCTTTGGTTTTCACAATTTTATGTTTATTAACTTTTCATATTATGTTCAAATGTTAATCAATCATCAAAAAGAGTTTCATTATACTTCTCTCATTGATATGTTCATTTTGACAGTAAGTACAAAATAATGCTAATGAATTTTTATAATAAGTTGCATTTTATTCCCGCAACACAATCAATGTTATGCATTCACTGGATTATTAATTTTTTTTTTTTTTGAATTCAAGGTTGAATTCAAGGTTTGTGAAGGAATTGTTAGTTGGAGCGAGTTATAATTAAAATGATATGCTAGTTTTTATCTATGTTAATAAATAGTCTCTTTATTGAGTAAGAGATAATTGTCATTCCTTATTAGAGAAAGATTTCTTACTACTTATTTGTGTGACTTTAGTAGAAATCTACTGTGGACTATATTTTATTTACTCATTGCTTTTCATGTGAGTTAGACATGTCGTACTAATTATTTCATAGTTCTCTAAAAAATTATATATTTCATTTTGATTATCAAAATCTGACTATAACCTATATGAACTATGAATTATATTCTATATAATTGAGAGATCATAACACAAGCATTATTAAGAGCTTTTATTATAGTTCAGCATATATACATAGATACATAAAAAATACTATATATATATATATATATCTTTAATAAGTGCAATTAGATTTTGATGTTATGATTGTTTTATTATTGGAATACTATTATTCAAATTATATTTTCTTGAAATTCATCTTTAAACTTTTATCTAACCCTATCTTGCTTAGTTCATGTGATTCCCTTCTAGATTTGGAGGGTGAGATGTGATAATTTTTAACTAAGTCTCAACTACTTTGACTTATATTTATTTGTACTTGAATTTGAATACTTCTGATGTTATACAGTTCACCTTATCAAAGCATTGACCAACATTATTAAGCTCTTTTTTCAAATGTTTCACAATGGGGGATTTAATGACAATTTATACTAAAATTTCAATCTATTAATCTAACATGTAACTAATGATTTTAAAACCAAAGATTAATTAAAAAAGTTATAATTTGATAATTAAAATTATATATTAGTTTATAATAAGCAATAAAAAATTAACTAAATCAGGATTAATATTGAAATTCATTTGATTATTTAAATAAATAAATATAATGATTACATGGAATCCACCTACGGCTTGTCACCTGTCGCCAGTCTGCCCCTCAGAAAAAGGAGCCGTTGCTCAGGTACAGTCACTAATGGCTAATCCTCCCATAAATACAGTTTCAAGTTAGGATACAGCCAATAATCTTATCTAAGGGTGAAATAGTAATTTTACATCAGAAATCCAGCAGCAAAGTTTGTAGCCATTGTGGGTTGACCTCTCTCTCATTCCCACCACACCACTCTGCATTTATTACATCTTGAGCTCATCCACCTAAAATTTAGTTAATAAATTAATTTCTATTTCTCTTTCCGCTAATCCTGCCTCAAATGCCCACCCTGCCCCAACTTGCCTTGCTTCACCTTTACTGCTCCCATCCTCCTTTTCTTCTTCTTCTCTCTCTCTCTCTCTCTCTCTCTCTCTCTCTCTCTTCGCTATCTCCATCTCCGGTTTTGCTCCACCGCGAAGAAAACTTGGTCTTCCTGTTTTGTTGGCTTCTCATCTCTTTCATCAGAGAAACGAAAAAAGCTCACCAAACTATCCCTTCCCAATAAAAAAAAAAGGTTTTTTTTTTTTATGCCCTTCCGTTTTCCTTGCTGTGAACGTTTCTTATCTCTGTTTTTTTCTTCCTAGATTGCTTTATTGTATCGGTTTATGTGTCTTTTCTGCTTAGAAACTGCATTTTATGTAGTTTTGCATCTGGGGCTTTCAATGCTGGGCAATCTTTGAGCTTTTGTTGCGTCGGGATTCCTCTCGGGCTTTATTTATTATTTCTGTGAGGTTTGCTTGATAATGTTTTTTGTTTATTCAAGGTTTTCGTAATGACTTCCAAATTTAAATGTGGGGTTCTCATTTTAGTTACTAAATGTCAGATGGCGTGGGGATGTGCTTTCTATTGCTTTTCTTCTCTCTCTCAGGCCTTCATTTGTATGTTTGCTGTAATTATTTGTAATGATAATGTCATGTTCAGGCAAAATAAAGAGCAATGATTCAGCCAATTTATACCTTTTTTTAAGAAGTTATTGCGAATTGTTCATTTGTAGTTACAATTTCAATCTTACTAGAGTACCTCCATTATCAATTATCACTCTATATATAGAGGCTGTCACAAAGATAGCTCAAACATATTTTTTGTCCTTGAAAAATTGGAAGTTTTAGAGAGTAAAGTTTTAAATTTCGTATATTCTTATCGTTACATTGTAAGCCAAGATATTTTCTCTTATATGTCCTTGTAACAATGATAAACTTGTTAACATCATTATTGCTGCATATTTACTTTTATAGTTGATATGGAAATTCACATTATAGTATTTTGATTTTCTTCAGTTAGCTAAATTTCATGAAATCCTGCTGCTGGTATGCTTTGATTTGACTTCTCCTATTAATGCAGGCAAATTGGAAAGAAAAAATGTCATCCAAAGATGGTCTAAATGCCAAATTAAACCATAAGACCTTTCTTGATTTGAAGCTATGGGCGGTGATTGGCATCAGCTGTGTTGCTTTGTTAATCTTTGTTCTCATTGTCCTATCCATATTTTTATACCGGAGGAAATCAAAGATAAACCTTGACAAGATTCCACAGACTCAAATCCCAGACATATCTAAAGAAATAACAGTTGATAGAATTGCTGGAACCACTTTAGCACAGAGTTTCAATGAGCATGAAGCACCTGCACTTGCCTACCATGACAAGTTTAGTGACAAGGATTCTAGAAAAATGTTGGGTCCTTTAACAAGCAAGTCGAGCGATGTGGATAACTTGAGCCAGTGCAGTTCAGTGTACCACGAGAAGGCTGGAAGCTCGTATTCTGGGGATGAGGTTAGCTCTGGAACGACAAGGAGGACACACTCGGTGTATGCTGGAGTTGTATCGGCTTCGCCTTTAGTTGGACTTCCTGGATTCTCACATGTGGGTTGGGGACATTGGTTCACTTTGAGGGATCTTGAGTATGCCACGAATGGCTTCTCCAAGGAGAATGTTATTGGGGAGGGGGGGTATGGAGTTGTGTACCGTGGGCATTTGACAAATGGAAGTGAGGTGGCTGTGAAGAAAATTCTTAACAATATGTGAGAATTTTTTTGGTTCTGACACATCTGCAACATATTCTTATTATCATCATCATTAGACTTATAGCTAATATTTTGTGTCTATTATGATGTTTGTTTGTTTTTCTGTTTGTAGGGGGCAAGCAGAGAAGGAGTTTAGAGTAGAAGTGGAGGCTATTGGCAATGTTCGGCATAAGAATCTTGTGCGACTTTTGGGTTATTGCGTGGAAGGGATTCACAGGTTAAGATTGCTAGCACCTTGTTTTTCATAAGCAGGGATGCAATTTAGTTAAAATTTTTTAAGTAGTTATGATAAATGGCTTCTGAAGGGAGCTTATCAGCCCAATGGAGGGAGCTTAAGCTAGCCGTTATATAGTTCATTGAAACATAGATTGTGTCATTTTAGGAAAATAATAAAATAAGATATATATGAAGCTTGAATATAAGAGTTTTGTAAGCTAAATGCGTAGAAGAAAAAACTTAAATTCTTGTTCTGAACCCATCCCACTCTTTCCATGCCACGGCTTCCTGGATTTTCCTTCTTATTCTTGATTTTTTTTAAGACCACCATGGCTCCCAAGGTTGACCTTCTCATTCAAAAAAAAAAAAAAAGTTGACCTTCTCATTCTTGCCTTCTTGAGAAGATGAACCAACTTGTGAGCTAGCTTGAACTCACTCTACCTGAAGTCTTGAACTAGAGCTCAAGCTCATTTATTTGAGTTGAGTCAATATGATCTAAGGTTTGCTCGATCTAGCTCGAGTAATTTACTTCTCTATCATCAAGTTTGTTTTTAAGATCTCTTTTCTTATTACTAATGCACAAATATAGCTATTTTAATGCTAGAGGTTTGTTTTTATATGCGTACACAACTGGTTTTGACATAAACTACCTAGAAGGGATCTGATGCAAACCATAGTTCCTACTTCCTACTGCTTTATCCATAATAATTCACATGCGAAATCGACGATGCACTGAAATCTGTAAGATTAAGCAGGTTGATCTTTTAGATTCAGTCAGTAAAAATAAACAAATAATAAAAAAAATATATAGCACACTAATGAGCCTTACTTAGGTACTGCCATGCATGCAATGCAGCAAGTTCAAAAGAAAAACTAAGAGTCTGTAATGATCTTTAGAAGCAAAAGAAGCTTATGATTTGTCACAAGAGGGTGTCTTTCAATCACTTTGATTTTAGGCATGTATAAGGAAAATATCATTTTTTTTCGGTCCAGCGAAAATTAATTAGAGTAATAGATCTTTATCTTGTCGAGTTATTATGCGTGTTGGAAGGTTTGGACTACTTTAACTCGGTCATACAATAAATTAACTTGGAAGAAGAAAATATAGCAACGTTGGAGATTTAAATATTCTGATCAACCAGTAAAGGATTTGAGTCAAAGTTTATTTGGCTTCAACTATTTGCTTATTGATAAAGCTTCCACACGCCAAATGTATCGGCTGTATGTGAATACTGCGGTTTTACCATCTCAAGCTGATGTAATACCAACACGAAGGCCAAGAATAATGTCGCTAATCAATACATTACATGAAGATTTGGTCAATTCATTATGCATTCCAAGCAAACCCACCTCTAATTTCTCAAGAATCATTGGAGAGTGATTAAGAGGCATAATTAAAGGTCTTTTGATGGGCTTGGCGGGGAAGATCTTGTTGAATGGGTTGGCCTATTTAATCAAGATGGTAAAAAAATGTTTGATTTCAAAACCACTTTACCTGTCTTTTTTGGCTTGTCCGAATTTTGCTGCATTTTCGAGCATTAAGTTTTGTAATTTTTTTTTTGTTTATTTTTCCTCTCATCAGGACAGATTATTAATATATGTAGTAGTATTTTATTGGTTTTGAAGGCCTTTCAACTTGTTTAGGCTTGAAAATGCATATAAATGGGACTTTAATTTGTATTTATTATTATTATTATTATTATTATTATTATTATTATTATTATTATTGCTATTTTACTCTTTGCAATTGAATGTGGAAATGCTTGGTGGCTGTTCTAATTTTTTATAAAGCATGTTGGCTGGTCCCCTAGGGTTTTAGTGAGTCTTTATTTTTGTCTCCCAACACATTGCCCTTCTTCTATGCATAAGGCTTGACAAACTCTTCTTTTTTACCTCCCTCACCCCTTCCTGCAATCCTTCATAACTCTTTTACACATTCTTCCAAAACCCCTAAAATTTTTTAACGTCTCAACTTTCCATTAGATATTCTACCCAAAACTCCAATATAGAGAGAACTATTTTGTTGTGAACTACCATAGACTCTTTAATCTCTGATCCAAGCTCCATAAAAGCATCACCCTTATTTTTTTAACATTCCAGGCTTTTGACTTGGAGTTCATCACCATTTTCCTTCACTACAAGTTTATCCTCCCAATTTTTGTAAGGTTGAGCATCAAATCTATCCAAAATTTGAATACCAATTTTATTTTAGCTACTCGTATAATACTCATATAACACTTCCACCATCCCTTTGAATAGAAATTATTACATATGGAGCACGTACGCTACACTACGTGTGTACTCCAGTAATATGCCGCAATGTGTGTTATATCAGACCCACCTCTCGCGGAGATTATTGAAGTGGAACTGCAGAGGTTATTGAGAGAGTAATTGGGGGTTATTGAGCATTAATTCTAATAACGCCACAATAGCCTCTCAATAACCTCCGCTGTTACCCTCTCAAATAATCTCTTAATAACCTCCGTGGTTACACTCCGCAATACCTCATAATAACACCCCAATAAACCCCCCTCCCCTTTCAATAACCTTCGCTGTTACACTCTCAAATAATCTCCTAATAACCTCTGTGGTTACACTCTGCAATACCTCATAATAACACCCCAATAACCCCCCCCCCCCCCCCCCCTCCACCTTCTGCATAACCCCCGTAATAACCTCATAATAACAACGAAATTAACCCTTCAATAATCTCTGTGATTTCACTTCAATAAGCTCCCAATAACCTCCACGTGGCGACATATTACTGGAAGTTCGCACGCAGTGCTGCGTAAGTGCTCCGTCTGGAATAAATTCTCCTCTCTGAGTGGTTGCCAATCAATTTGCCATCTTCACCATCAAAACCTTATTGAACATATATCACAAGGTATCTTTGAAATATCTATCGATAATGATTACCAATCATAATTAAATATGTTTCAATAGGAGTATACACGAGTAAGAACACTTGCAATCTTTTAGACTGCTTTAAGATAACACTGATGGTGCATCCAATGCTAAACTTATTGATAATCATCTCCCCCATTTACAAAAGTCTTATGCAAAATTGCAAAAAACGAGATGTTTAGGTTAAGACATGTAATCCATCATGGAAGAGTAGTCCCTTTTCAGAAGTATTCAATGAGGCAAAATGACTTCTATATAATCAAATAAATATAAGACAAATCATATGAATTGTTAGGTTAGTGAATATTACGGCATAGAACCAATTAATTTAGTCATTTACTTATTGAAATTTGTCATTTTGAAGAAGCCATGCTGAATTATATGGTGGCCAATTTTAAGCCAGGAAACTAAACTGCATAACCTCGGTACATCCTTCTTAATTCAACAATTTGATTTCACCTCTTGAAAGTGGGCCAAATTATGGACATTCCACCATGGAGCACAAATTCTTTTATTTTATTTATTTTATTGAAGCAAAATTGTGTTAAGCGAGGACATTAGGTTTGCCCTTAAGAATCGACATACTATCATTGTTGCCATTAGTTGTAATTTTCTTATCATAAACTATCATCCACGCTGAATTATGTTTTGAAACTGTATCATCTCATAGGATGCTTGTCTATGAATATGTGAACAATGGTAACTTGGAGCAATGGCTTCATGGTGCCAGACGCCAACATGGAGTTCTCAGCTGGGAGTCACGCATGAAAGTTATATTAGGCACATCAAAGGCGTAAGTATTGATTCTTCTTAATTTTGAGATCATTAATTGGTTGAACTAAGGAATTAAATGGTCTGCAGACTTGCTTATTTACATGAGGGCATAGAACCGAAGGTTGTTCATAGAGATATAAAATCAGGTAATATTCTGATAGATGAGGAGTTTAATGGCAAGGTTTCTGATTTTGGATTGGCCAAGCTTTTGGGTTCTGGCAAAAGCCACATCACAACAAGGGTGATGGGAACATTCGGGTAAGACATATTTCATCATAACATGTTGATTTTGAAGAGATTCTAAAGCATAAATTTGCATAATTGGATTGACTTATGATGTGATGTCTTTGTGATTACAGATATGTGGCTCCTGAATATGCTAATACCGGACTGCTAAATGAGAAGAGTGATGTTTATAGTTTTGGCGTGCTACTTTTGGAAGCTGTGACTGGAAGAGACCCCGTGGATTACAGCCGACCTGCAAATGAGGTACTGTTTCTATATTCTTGTTGCCAGCAACATATTCTCTCTTAAATCTGAGAAAGTCATTGCCTTTCTTGTCGGTTCATGCTTTTTCTGTGTATCAAAGATTCTATTATATTATCAAGATTGGGGTAAATGATTTGAATATTATGAAGATTTTTTTTTGTTATTTTGTTAAAAATCGAGCTGATTTCAATCAAGTTTTAGTTTTTCGAAGTTCAAGAAATCATGTTTAAGCTTGACTTAACAACAACAATAAGCTAAGTTAATAAACATTAAATTTATCAATTTGTTTTTTATTGGTGTCTCTAATTGCATGAGAGATGGTTTATGTTTTTCTTAGTAATAGGAAAAATAGAACAAACAAGTCAATTTTTAGAAGTATCGCCAGAGTGATAATGATTTGCTTGAAGTAAACATTGAAAAGAATAGGAAAAAAAAATTACAGAAGGAACTCCACAATATTTTTGGAGGTTTAAAATCTTGATTAGATTAACAGGTTCAATTTTAATTTTAAAAAATAAGACTCTACTCAGTCACAAATTGGGATCCAGGCTCAAATTTTAGCTCTTTTTCAAATACAGATATAGTTCCATTTAAAGGTTACACTCAATTTCGGTGGAAGTTTCCAGTTCAAATATGATTTTGAGTTTAATGCCTTTCTGAAATTCTGATTCAGATGTAATATTTAACTTGTATTTGATCAAGTCTTATATTCTAATTATTGTCCCTAGTTTCAGGTTTTAACATATTCATATAGAGATTTATCATTGCAATTGTAAATATTTATTTATATTCAATTCATCTTCTAAATAATATTTATAATGTTTCTTTGATAAGCTTAGATTTGATTACGCATGAATCTCATAACGGCGCATGTTTGATTGGTTTTGGACTAGAAGACAATAATTTTGCTCTAGAGACTTTATGGTATATGCGTGGTTGTCTTAAAAATCAATTGTAAATGCCCCAAAATTCAAAGATATGGACATTGTATCATTTAGGGCTGTAAATTATAGTTTAAGTACCCTTAATCTCTTGCCTAGCTTTGTAATACAATATGCAATGGAAATGAGATAGTATTGGGGCAGCCTAGATTTAATTACCTAACCATTAAACTTATCATAAAATTTAGCTTGTATTAACTTGTATTTGATTAAGTCTTACATTCTAATTATTGTCCCTAGTTTCAGGTTTTAACATATTCATATAGAGGCTTATTATTGCAATTGTAAATATTTATTTATATCCAATTCATCTTCTAAATAATATTTATAATGTTTCTTTGATAAGCTTAGATTTGATTATGCATGAATCTCATAATGACGCATGTTTGATTGGTTTTGGACTAGAGGACAATAATTTTGCTCTAGAGACTTTATGTATATGCGTGATTGTCTTAAAAATCATTTGTAAATGCCCCAAAATTCAAAGATATGGACATTGTGTCATTTAGGGCTCTTAGTAAATTATAGTTTAAGTATCCCTAATCTCTTGCCTAGCTTTCTAATACAATATGCAATGGAAATGAGATAGTATTGGGGCAGCCTATATTTAATTGCCTAACCTTTAAACTTATCATAAAATTTAATAACATTTGAATAACTTAATTTATGACTCTCAGAGTGTTTGTTAAGTTGGTTTTCATATTCATGGAATAACATATATTATTTCTTAAGATTATAGTTGTCAGCAACCAATATTGATTTGTTTTACTAGCAACACTATGCCAATAAATTTGAAGATGCCCCTCTATTTTTGTTTTCAGTAGTTTAATTCTTTCATAATAAAGAATAGTGATATTGAGGGAATATTCTGATTGTCAGTCCATTCTAGAAATTTCTGAAGTTTATATTCATTTGTAGAATTATAATTTTGATTCCCACATTAATGATATTGAGTTCTTAATGTTTTAAATTGAATCATTTATTTATTTTTGAATGACCATATTATTATGTTCAACTTTTGGTTGCATTGTGATACAATCATAAGCTCTGATGTCAATTTGAAGGTCTTGGGTTTACTGATGTGAACCTAGGATGTGTGATACAATAAGAAACACACAAAATATTAATATTCACAATTTTCTAACATTTAGGCAAAAGATGAAATTGCCAAAATTTAAAATTCCATTATAATTCTCAAAATGAACGTAGCATTCCATGCCTTCTCAAACCTAACACACTTTTTTTTTATTTGAGTCAAATTTTAATTCTCGTCATACTTGGTTCCATATATTCTCAACAACAACAACAACGACAATCCTTTATCCCACTAGGTGGGGTCGGCAACATGAATCTGTTTCCTTCATCGTCTTATTGAGTTTCATATTTTCATTTAGTTTTAATAAATTAAGATCATTGGTTATACAATATGCCCATGTCTTTTTATGTCTACCTTTACCTTTCTTAACTTAAGTCAAATTTAAAACATACTCTCTTTATCGGATCATCAGATGGTCGATATTTAATGTGACCAAACCATCTAAAACGACTTTCTCTAATATTCTCTTCCACTGGAGCTGCACTAACCCTTTCACGAATGTATTCATCACACATTTTATCTCCAAAAGTAAAGTCGTTCATCCACCTATTCATTCTAATCTCAACAACAATTAACTTAGTATTATGCTTCTCTTTTATAGGACAACATCCTGCGCCATAAAACATTGCAGGTCTTACCACCATTTTATAAAATTTCCCTTTTAAGTCTAAGCGGTACTTTTCTATCACACAATAGGCCGAACGTGTTTGTTCCTCTACTTCAACCATCCAATTTGAATTCTACTATTAACTTCTCTATTTATACACCATTACTTTGAATAGTAGACTTGAGATATCTAAATCCTTTTAATGATTTGATCACCCATTGTTAAACTCTGTCGCTAGATCTACTACAACTAAAATTACATTCAATGTATTCAATTTTAGATCTACTCAAACCAAGGCCTTTAGACTTTAAAGCAGACCTTCATAATTCAAGTTTTTCATGAACTATTCCTCTAGTCTTTACCACAAGAAGGATATCATCAGCAAAAAACATACACCAATGTATATCTTCCTGTAAATGTTCGGTAAGAGCGTCAATTACTAAAGCAAAATGATATGGGCTTAAATTTGATCCTTGATGTATTCAACTGAATTTTTAATTTTTTTTTCTCAAGATCAATAAAAAAACATATATCTCCATGCATTATTTAATTTATTATGGATTATTTTACACAAAAGTCATTTTTGTAGATAGTGGAGTTTCATGAAAATATCCTGGCGGTAGTGTGGGGTAGGTACTGTCATTGCATCGCTTTATTCTTCTTCTCCTAAGAAGTATTCTTGTCTAGTCGTTCTCTGTGTTTCTCCCTCTTCAGGTCCCACTACAAAAAGATATTATTCATGACAATGATGGAGGCTAGCTTCACTCTTTTTTCATCGGATACCTCCTTATAGTTGAAGATCCGTTCAACAGTCTACATCTACTCAAGAAATCATCCGGATTCATCCTCTCATCAAAGTACAGTAGGTCAATGTTAAACCACAAATCTCCGTGCCCTACGTCAGACACTTCCTCTCTCAACTTTCTCCAACAATGAATTCTAATAGGCTCAGATAGATTCTCCTCTTTATTGAAGTCATCCTTACAAAAGGGGTTCAGTCGTTCTTTTGGCTCTCCTCCAGGATCTCATTATTATGGCCGGTGACCTTTCCCATGGTCCTTTCCTCAATAGTCTCGAGCCTTTGTAGCACCTAGCATAATATTCGCTTGATGTCACCCATGGTAATATCCTGCTTCAGTTCGGACACTTGCTTTCTCGGTGACATGGTTAGGCTTTTGAGGCAGATAGGTGGAAGGAGATATGAAGGCGGGGAAAGAAATTTTTTAGGGGAGATGGGTTTGAGTATGACATATGCTAGAAACCCTACGATGTATTCCAACTGAATTTTTTTAAAAAAAATTTCTCAAGCTCAATAAAAAAACATATATCTCCATGCAATATTTAATTTATTTTGGATTATTTTACACAAAAGTCATTTTTGTAGATAGTGGAGTTTCATGAAAATATCCTGGCGGTAGTGTGGGGTAGGTACTGTCATTGCATCGCTTTATTCTTCTTCTCCTAAGAAGTATTCTTGTCTAGTCGTTCTCTGTGTTTCTCCCTCTTCAGGTCCCACTACAAAAAGATATTATTCATGACAATGATGGAGGCTAGCTTCACTCTTTTTTCATCGGATACCTCCTTATAGTTGAAGATCCGCTCGACGGTCTACATCCACTTAAGAAATCATCCGGATTCATCCTCTCGTCAAAGAACGGTAGGTTCATGTTAAACCCCAAATCTCTGTGCCCTACATTAGACACTTCCTCTCTCGACTTTCTCCAACAATGAATTCTAATAGGCTCAGATCGATTCTCCTCTTTATTGAAGTCATCCTTACAAAAGGGGTTCAACCGTTCTTCTGGCTCTCCTCTAGGATCTCACTATTATGGTTGGTGACCTTTCCCATGGTCCTTTCCTCAATAGTCTCGAGCCTGTGTAGCACCTAGCATAATATTCGCTTGATGTCACCTATGGTAATATCCTGCTTCAGTTCAGACACTTGCCTTCTCGGTGACATGGTTAGGCTTTTGAGGCGGATAGGTGGAAGGAGATATGAAGGCGGGGAAAGAAATTTTTTAGGGGAGATGGGTTTGAGTATTACATATGCTAGAAACCCTACGATATGACTAGGGTTAGACTGGTTCTAATATTAAATGGTACCAGAACCAAAACCAGAATAGGAAATCAAATATTATTTTTCAAAGGCAAATAGGGGCTACAATCAAAGACACTTGGAACTAACATAAATACAACACGAATCAGCTAGGGTTATGCTAGCTTTGATACTAAATGATATCGTTATTAACCAAAATCACAATAGGGAAAGCAAATATTATTACTCAAAAGCAAATAGGAGTTACAATCAAGGACACTTGGAACCAACAAAAATGCACCACGAGTCAACTATGACTGAGGACGATGATGAAGGGCAATGGTTAAGGGAGTTATAGTAACTAAAGTAGTGGGATTGTGGTTGGAAGGGGCGATGATCCCGATCTTATATGATAGTATTATGATGCATGCAGTTATATTCTTAACGTTTTCTTACTTATAACTCTTACTTTGCAACGACGCCAAAAATATGATCCTGAGCAACGATTTGGCAAAAACTTAACTTCGAAGCAAATAAGAATGCAATTATTATATTTATGTATGAGATACTACACAAGTATATGTATTGTTATCAAGTAATATAAGATTTTTTATTAAGCTTCGAATATCGAACCCACAAGGAGAAATACAATATGTATCTAAATCAGAAGAAATTAGGTAACAAATTCTACTTTGCAGAATATACTTACTCAAACTATAGATGCTATAATAGAAATGAAAGTTCAATTTTTTTGGCTATTTTTTTATAATTTAAAATAAAATAAACAACTAACAAAATTTAACTAGATATTTGTAAGATGAAGACAACATAAATAAAATATTTTTTTCCTTGTTATGAATCAGTAACAAGTATAAGAATTCTGTTGTGAAAGTATTCAAATTTTGTTGTGTCAAATAAGAGCAATAATATTCTTTACCCTTAATAGAGATGTTATAAACACATTGACTAATTTAAATTTTGTTGTGCCAAATGAGAGGGCTTGAAGGGTCGACAATAAGCAAGAGAGGGAAGGATACACACTACCTCGGGACGATTTATAACTAGTGCAACTTTTCACCGTCGTATGCAACCCTAGGAAAGGAAAAGGGATGCTGACGACTGTCCCGACAAAAATATGAAAGTGACACACACACACACACAAATATGTTGAAGTGGAGTGGCCCCACTCCAGATGGGTGGGGAACCCATGCTTGGAAGTACTGGTCGCACTTGTCTCAGGCTTGCCGCGCGACAGGGACCATGATGCCTTGTGTCAGTCTCTCGAGGTTAGGGGAGCTTCACGTTCATCTGTTGAAGCTTCAGTGACCTCGTAGTACAAAGTTAAAAATGTGTCAAGTTGAAGGTAGCCGAGATGTTGTAATCCCCCGACAAATTGTTCTTGTAGCAGTGACACCCCTCATCAGTCTCTCAAGTTGGGGAAGCTTCGACTTCTTTTGTCAAAGCTCCGACACCTTAATATTACAGAGTGAAATTCTCAAGTTGAAGGTAGCTAAGATGTTGTAATATCCTGACAAATCAATCTTGTAGGTGTTGTCATTTAAGCTCTTGTGAATTCTAAAAGGCTCACCTACTCTAGGCTTGAGTTTCTCGAACGATCCCATGGGAAATATCTTTTTCTTCAACCTGATCCACACTAGTTCTTCTTTCTAAAACATCACCTTCTTCCTTATTTTATTGATTTATGCTTGATACTTATAGTTTTGCTTGGCAATCTCCTTTTTTACCAGTTCTCCCCACGTTTGATGTTATTGTGGTTTTTGAGGCAAGAGTACAGGAGATTCAGTATCCTCGTAGTACGGAGTCAAATTTGTCATGTTGAAGGTGTTCGAGGTGTTTTACTCCCCCTGAAAAATTGATCTTGTAGCCGTTTTCATTCAACCTAAGAATTTTGGGTGGTCTAGGATTGAGTTTCCCAAATGATTCTATGGGAAAATTCTTTTTTTTCAACCCGATCCACACTTGATCTCTTTCCTAAATAATCACTTTCTTCCTCGTTTTATTGGCTTACGTTTGATACTTAAAAATTTTACTTGGTGATCTCCTTTCCTAACTCGTGTAACTTCTAAATCTCCTGTACTCTTGCATCAGCATCCGCACTAACATCACACTTGGGAGAACTGGTACTAGTAGCTCAAGTGGAGTGAGCGGGTTACATCATACACAATCTGAAAAAGCGTGCATTCCGCAGTTAGGCTCACGGGACTAGTTGTAAGCAAATTCAGTTTGGGCAAAAAGTTGGTTCCACCGTTTGATATTATTATCATGATCGCAACTTCTTTGTTCTTTAATAGCTTTTGCCTGTTTGAGTTGCAAACCATAATGTTATAATTAATTGACACAAAACATTCTATCAGCTAAGGTCGACTTAAATTTGTCCCCTTAAACAAACATCTACCCCAGGTCTATAAGGATTTCTTGGACGACGCAACTCATGATTTTTGACAAGAATCTTTCAGTCAGGTTGGGTCAACTACCTTCTATAACTAAGTAGATCAGAGACTACAACGATACAGGACGACAAAACCATGAAATCTCGACCGGTTTGGTCATCTTCCCCCCACCATCCGCTTTAAGCTTCAAGTGATAAATTTTATGACTTAAAATGTATGTCTATTGTTATTGTATGTTGATCATTCAAGTCTTAACGAATAGCCTTAATCGAAATTTCTCTCATTTTCTCATGAGGGTAAACTTGTGCCTATGATAAACCTCGAACCCAAGATCAAGAAGTCACCTCAAAATGAGGGTGAAATCTCTTGGTAGTGTCCCATCCACTGTTCAAAACACCTTTTAAAAATTTGACTCTCCAAAGCTCTCACAACAATAAAAACATAATAAATCCTGAGAATCCAGGGAGTGGTTGGAATTTTTTGACCCCGCAAAGTTCACTCCAAGATCATGTTGTGACGTTCTGGTGGCTAGCGCTGCGGCGCTCTGGTCTAACATTGTGATGCTTTGCTCTCTGAAATCGTTTCGGGAAAATCTCTAACATAGCACTACAATGTCTTTGTAATCTCAACTTTATACTTTTTTTCTGAGGGTTTTCCCGTATAAAAATACATAAAGTAATGTAATATTATCTTTATATATTTTTCTCACTCAACAATGTAAAAAGACAGCCCCAAGTTCTGTCTAGAGGTTCTGACGCCACAAAAAAGAATATCTCCCTTGAGTTTCTCACCTTGAAGTAATTCTTTCTCTATGATGCCATTGATCTCTTGAAGCTTTCCTTGTTCTCTCTCTCCCTCTCTCTCTAATTCTAGCCTAAAGTGTCTTCACGAGCACATTGGGATCCAAATTAAAATTTTATATCACTCGAAAATTTGATTCCTTTATAATTAGCATAATCTTCAACTTTTTGTCATTTTTAGATAATTGTATCAAGTTGCCTCTTTTTGTGTTCGGTTGCTTTAATACTCAAATTGATGACCAAAAACTCAAGCTAGCATCGAGCCAAATAAATTGCTGTCAGAGAACACCAAAAATGAAAGGACTGCCTTGAATCATCTCCGAATAGTTCCTATATAGCTTGTGCAAAGTACGCTTACGTGAACCTTGGCTTGCATGTTTAGGTAAATCTTGTGGAGTGGATCAAATTCATGGTCGGCAGCAGGAGATCTGATGAACTTATTGATCCGAACCTGGAAGCCAAGCCTTCATCTAAAGCTCTCAAAATGGCCCTCCTAGCTGCTTTAAAATGCGTCGATCCAGACTCCCAGAAGAGACCTCGGATGAGTCAAGTTGTAAGACTGCTCGAAGCAGAAGATTATCCGTTCCGTGAGGTTGTAGTAACACCCATTACAACCTGACCTCTCCTGCACTGAAAATAAATAAATCATCTTCCAGATCTTACTGTAATTATTAATCATCTCCATTGTTTGGATTTGTATGCAGGAACGACGAAACCGACGAAGCCACGCTGCAGTTTCCGTGAAGGATTCTTCGAGTTCTGTTGATCTTGATAAGAAGTCTGAAGCATCAGAGACAGAGCTGAGGGATGAATTTGGGGGACTATAGGACATCCTTTCTGTGCTAACAACAATCCATGAAATTGTAGGTGTGATTATTCTTTGTAGTGGTTTGGCTCTTAAGCTGATTTTGTTGCCATCACCAACATGAGGGTTTGGGTTTTAGAATGAATGTATAAGATTAATTATAGTGAATTTCAGCTTTTGTTGTACAGTTTATTTTAGATTTGAAGTTATTGGGATTTTCTCATTTATTCGTAATTTATGCCACTATATCATTCCTTATGCGCCTACCTCATTTAATTAAATATATTATAAATTGGATTTATAAATTTTTATTTGATTTTATTTGTCTTATGGTGTAAAGCTTAAATATTATTAAAAAAAAATTGAAGTAATTGAAATTGTTAATTTATATAATAAATAATTCATTGCTTCATTGATGTTGAAGCTCATTCAATGTAGCTTCAATGTAGATCTCTTGATCCCATGGAACTCCAACTGCGTAACTAATTAATTTCCCTTGTTAATTGCTTTATTTGATTAATTCTTATGAAGTGGAAAGGTTCCAACTTGCATATGAACCAAAATTAACTCATTCATTGCTTCCACCTTCACCTCGTTTGAGAAGTGATTCAAGTTCTGTTGGGTTGCTGTGAATGCCAAGGTGCACATTTTACGCCTCCCAAAATTAATTCACCGAAACGACAATTCGTTTTTAGAACTCAAATGGCAATATCTGTCACGCCACTTTTACAGGAGCTTAAAAAGCCTAAAACACTCCATATCAAAAGTTGTAGACATTGGCAACTCATAGTTTTTATGCACCAAAATCATATATGTAGGGTTTAAGATTTACAGTTAGATTTTACGGATGCACAAAATCACAGATTGTTTATGGCTCACAAACTGTTGCCAACACATTTCCCTCATCATCCTTGCTATTTAGTTTGGTTCATGCTTCTATGACCAATCCTTATGATTGCTCATGCATTTTTATTTGCTCATGTGTTAAATTTTTATACTACACTTAAAAAGATAAATAATACAAGTGAAAGTTTCAATCTTACTGGCCAATGTAAAAGTAAGTCGATAAAAATTCTGTTTAGCAATTGCAAGTGAAGCCTAGCTTTGTCCATTCTTTTTGCATCTCCCACTTGTTAGGCCTTGACATTATAATTTTATTTGCATTATCTAGATATAGTTTTTTCTATAAATAAGTGCTCACATGGTGAGTTTGTTGCATCATATCATTTATCAATATTATATTTTTGGCAGTATTATCTTGTTTTTAATCCAATCTCATTTGTAATAAAGGTGCCAATGTTGCCCACAAACAAATTTGTATTCATTAATTTATCATCAGACAACTTCATTTCTCTGAATTGCTATTGTCCTTTATTGTTGTTGGGCATTCAAGAAGATTTGACTTCTCTAATGGTTTTATTTATTTATTTATTTGAATAATATGTGATGATGTTGCTTTATTTTTATTTAATACGTGATTATTATTATTATTTTTAATTACGATAGTTACATGCAAGCATCTGAATTTTTGAACTACTGAACCCATGTATTTTTGTGTGTCACAATCAAATCATTGAGAATTTGATAAAGATGAAAAACAAGTGTTGTAGTTTTATCATGAATTTAAATATCTGAGTGAGAATTTGAAAAATGGATGAAAGAGGGAGATAGATTAGTAAATAACAATGTTTTGGGTGCTGATTTTACATGACAAAATAAAAAATTCATACCAACTTCATAAAGCATTAAATCAATAATAAAGTCTAAAGATAAGTAGATAAACAAAAAATATGATAGGTAAATCAACTTGATTAACAGTTCTTCCACGTTTCAAAATTTTAAATTTTTGCAAAAATCATTTGATATTTGTGATGATACTTCTTTTCTAAGCTAAAGATAAGTAGGTATATGCTAAAATTATGATTATCTGTAATATGTTAAAACATGATTTTTTTCATATATTTAGTAGATGTTTATTTAAATTTTCTACCATTTTTTTTCCACTTCCAAGAAAGGAAATGCTTTTCTTAATATGTTGTTTAATCATAAAGAGCACTGATTTTACATAATAAAAACCAAAGAGTACATAATGTGCGAGATTTCAATAGTGTGCTTCATGAGATTAGCAGAATGCTAAATCAACTCGTATTTTATTTTTTAAAATCTCACTAATCATTTACAGATTAAGCTATATGTTTATGTAAATGTAAAACAAAACAAATTCTTACTATATAAAGAGTATAGTAATTATATAGAAAATATACTTCATTAAGTAGTCGAGCAAGCATTACTATTTTAGGGGCGAGAAAACAGTTAATATCAACTTAACACATCATCACACAAGTTTATGTTCAAAGAAGTTCTTAAGCAAAAGCATTTTTAACACAAAGCCTTCTAAAATTGCTGTAATCAAACCATAGTTTCTCCATTGATGTAATACAAAACTTAGGAATATATTTTCATAACACCACATACTGCTAAAACATATATTTTTTTTTCACTGCAGCAACAGTATACTTAATCAAAAGTCAGGCATAAGGACAATGATCATAACCTGCAAGAAGAAGCAAAGAAGAAGAACACATCAGAAGCTTTTTTTTTTTTTTTGTATTTGTGGTTCAAAAATTGATTGATTGTCATACTTGGATCTGTTGTGACGATTAATGCAGAGTTGTTGAAGTAGCAGTTCCAGTAGTTCCTACCCACGGCTTCCCATCGCTTGGTAGTAGAGGTTCATTGCTATGGAAGCATGGGAGATGAGCTTGTCCGGGTAAGCGCAATCCATCTGTAAAATGCTGCAATCCACCTGCGAGCAGGCATAGTTGATGTTCGCGTTCAAAGCAGCATCTTCAGAAGAAGGTTTCGCCACGCACCAAGTTCTCTGAAACAATTTTTAATGGGTTAGCTATGTTATCATGCCCATTTTAATGTCAGTATTTCCCCATTCATATTTTATAGAGAATTTCTTATAATTTTTTCTATAAAAATGTTGTTTTTAAACGTAGAACATTATTTTTAGCCATTTCTCATATAAAACTTCTGTAAGGACATGATTATGTCTGAATCCCGGCAAAGATTTTTTACAAGTTTTTATTGCTAAAGTAGTTTGTTGTTGTTTATCAACAGATATAGTTTTAATATGGTTTATAGAGAGCATTTACCTGCACTTCTCCGGAGCTTTGAGCTTTACCTGCGTAAGAAAGTTCATAAACATAGGAGGTAAAGTCAGAATTAGCTTAAGCGGAGAACCACGAAATGAATGTTACGGAAGCAAACAAACTAATTGACTCACAAAATTACAAACAAAAAATTATTAATTTCAGAGTAACAATCTTCAGCACCAATTCTCAAATTTTTCATAAAATTTTCTCCCGGCAAAGCAGAACAAAATCCCATCTTTATTACTTAAAAATAAATAAATAAATGCATTAAGAACATATCATCTTCAAAAGAAAATGAACCTGTGAAGAACAAGAGCAGCACAAGCAAAAGAGTACTGAATGAAAGAGAAATGGAAACTTCAGCTCTTCTTGCCATTGCTCTATCTGAAATCTAAATGAATAAAGGAGAAAGAAATAGTATTTAGAAGGAGAGTCAAAGCTGTAATTGAATTGCTTTGATGCGACGATAAGTGGGAATTATAAAAATTGTAAATTTTTTGAAACGTCAAACTCAACGGCTAATTTCTACTTCTACCTGCTTGCGATGGTTGGCAACAAGAAAAGGCGCTATCTTGTCTGGAAGAGGAGAAAGCTACATATATAAGCACTCCGCACGGACGTAGCCTGCATTTACTGTTACAGCTTATGATACAAGATTATGAACCATTAATTTGTTTTAGCGTGTAATTAATTTGTACTTTTGACCTTCCAGTGGCTAATGGGAGGATGCAAACCGCCATTTGGAGGTCTCCGACTGCGTTTTTTCTAAGAATCGAAACGCCAAATTCAGGCATAATGTAATCATAGTAATAAGGATAATATTTTATACATTTACAAGAGACTTTTAATATGAATAATTTTTTAAATTTGGTTGGATCGGTTTGGTTCAATCTCAAAAATGAATTTTAATTTTTAGTTTTTAAAAATTTAATATTCAGCTTTTCGGTTTTTGGTTTGTTTTTAGTTTTCATTTAACTAAATAAAGCGAAAAATTAGAGTTTTATTAAAAAATTTTATTTCATATCGGATAGATTAAAAAAATAATTTTATTATATCAATATTTGATTAAAATAGATAGATAATTCATAAAATAAATTTTATATTAAATCGATAAAATATATAATTCGTAATGTTTATTCTTAGCCAAACACCAATATATAATTAAACTTCGGGTTGCTCATAACGGAACCGTTTAAGTAAAATTAAATTTCGATCTTGCCAGTTCGGTTTGATCAAAATTTAGATTGATTCTTTTTTCCAATTTCTGAATTTTAGTTGCAATTGATTTGACAAATTTTAAAATTCATCCATCCAAACTGGCCGAATCTAAACTATCAATCTTGAGACCAAGATTTTTGTCCTATAAATGATTTTGGTTTAGTTTGTCTATACTATCCCGTTTCTGAATTTTAGTTGCAATCGGTTTGGCCAATTTTATAATTGATTCATCCAAACCGGCCCACTGGCCACTCCTATACTTGAGACCAAGATTTTTGTCCCCTAAATGATTTTGATCTACTTTGTCTATACTATCTAGGCTATTACTTACACACAGACACACACTATTACTTGATTTTCAATAGCATTAAATGCTTATTTTTGAATTAAGGTACATTCATGAATTCAAAGTGCTAGAGTTTGAACGCATTGTGCCTGGATCATGCATGTCTTGAATACATAAAAAAAAAGTTAGGAGTATGGAGAGTTAAATGTTGACATTGAATATAGTTCAATGGATATAACATATTTTGAAATGGTCAGAATATCATTGCTCTATTTATTTTGTTTATTTAAATAATTTTAATCGCACTATTTATGAAGAGAATGTTCCGGTTAATTATTAACACGCATTCATATGCATTGTAATTTCACATAAAATCCTCATTACTCAGTATTGTTTTTGAAGTTTTTCATCGTATTTTGGTAACTTTCGCTCATAATTTTGCGTGATCATAAATATGTTTTGGCGTAGTTTGCCGATTGATTCAACGTGATTCAAGTAATGAATTGCATTCAGTTTATTACTAACTGTTAATGGTTTGAAATTTGATTCGAAATAAATTGGATTGAATTTT